TATTAAATAACTAGCAATATTTAGACTATAAGAGACTTGTATGGAACTCTGAAAGTGATATTGAAAATAGGAAGTCATAACGAAATTGATAAAAAGATATATGAGCCCAATTACATCACAGCTACTCCTTATAAAACCAATAATAACAGACCAAGAAGTTTGTTCTGCCGAAAATCTTGCAAGACTAATTGCAAACAAAACTGTTCCAAGTTACAACTAACAATCGAAAATTAAAAAATATTTTTTATGAATAGATTTGCAATTAATTAATAATTAACTATAATTTTAGTAACTGTAATATTATTCGTAATAAATAAACAAAACAAGGCCCAGGATGTGGAATATACTCCAAATCCTTATTAAACCTAAACATAAAGTGGGCTGTGATCAATAGTGCCAGTTTAGTTCAAACAAAGCTGACGGGGACTCTCATAGCAGCAAAAGAAATCACCAGAAACAATATCACTGGAAAAAACATGCTCATCAATACACATAACAGACAAGCACTACTCACACTGGACAGACTACGAATTTATTCAGGGTTATTACTAGAATGTCACGAAGCTTTGGTCGAAGTATCCATCAACAATGTGGTCAACCTAAGATGGATCAAGGGTCACGCCACATTGAAAGGTAACCTTCTTGCTGATTCACTTGCTAAGAAGGCAGCTAACCAAATAATTTTTGGACCTGGCCCTTCTATTGGCTTGACAACATCGGTAGTCACAAACCTAATTGCCTTGTGAAGTCAAGGAAAGATGGGACGAAACAAGAAGCTGCAGACTTGCCAGGGAACCCTTAAGTTATCCTGAGAACACTATAGCTAACAAATAGTTGACTGTGACTAGACAGAATCTGCGCCTTCTCACAGGCATTCTGACTGGACATTTCCAACTGCGGAAGCATCTCCATATCATAAAGCTGTCAGAATTCCCACTCTTCGGGGGGTGCGAGCAAGAAAATGTGACCATCGAGCATATCCTCTACCATTACCCGACGCTCTCATTTATTAAAAGATTTGTATTCGGCGAAAATTGGCTAACACCGGCCGATATAAGAGAAGCATTGATCATTGCAATAATATGTCAACAATTTCTGTAGAATTATATGGTTTTCTGGAGGTGCGAATTTCGAAGTATATTTAAATAACTAACTTTTTATAATATTTTAAGGTAGTTCACTCGTAAAACGGCTTTTCTTAAGAATTCAATAAAATTGAAATATAAGGTTAATGAAAGTGTATTTTATGTAAATAAAAAAAATAATTTTTTGACCGTCTGTGAAACGAGATATGAACAATCAAAATGTGCATAATTAACACTCTTGAAGACTCTCATGTACGCAAGTAATGCATTTATTTCCAGATATCTCGAAAACTGTTCTTACCATATTTTTTAAAAACTAATGTAATGTAAATCAAGAAATTATAAAATTTTCTAAAGAAACGCTGAATTTTTTGACCGTCTTAGTAAAAAGATATAGATTTTTGAAATGGCGACATTGTCAACTACATAAAATCTGTAGGTAGGCTCACGAGCTAGGAGATGCCTACCTACTTAGGCCTCACTAGGCCCATTGTGCATCCTCCTAAGTACCGTGGATTAACCCACCCTCCACACGTTACAGATAGAGATATTAATAATATGAAACAAATTTGGTACATAAATTTTTTGACAGGCTCTGTATAAAATGTAATGGTCTCACTTTGTAAAAAAGTGATCGAAAGTCAAAATGTCGTCGCAGGCCGAAGAAGGTAGAACAAGTTCAATATAAGTCGAAAAGGTCTAAGAAGGTCTAATAAGGTCTAAGAAGGTCTATGAAGGTCTAAGAAGGTCTAAGAAGGTCTAAGAAGGTCTAAGAAGGTCTAAGAAGGTTTAAGAAGGTCTAAGAAGTTCTAAGAAGATCTAAGAAGGTATAAGAAGGTCTAAGAAGGTCTAAGAAGGTCTAAGAAGGTCTAAGAAGGTTTAAGAAGGTCTAGGAAGGTCTAAGAAGGTCTAGAAAGGTCTAAGAAGGTCTAAGAAGGTCTAAGAAGGTCTAAGAAGGTCTAAGAAGGTCTAAGAAGGTCTAATAATGTCTAAGAAGGTCTAAGAAGGTCTAAGAAGGTCTAAGAAGGTCTAAGACGGTTTAAGAAGGTCTAAGAAGGTCTAAGAAGGTCTAAGAAGGTCTAAGAAGGTCTAAGAAGGTCTAAGAAGGTCTAAGAAGGTCTAAGAAGGTCTAAGAAGGTCTGAAAAGTTCTAAAAAGGTCTAAGAAGGTCTATGAAGGTCTACGAAGGTCAAAGAAGGCCTAAGAAGGTCTAAGAAGGTATAAGAAGGTCTAAGAAGGTCTAAGAAGGTCTAAGAAGGTCTAAAAAGGTCTAAGAAGATCTGTCTAAGAAGGTCTAAGAAGGTCTAAAAAGGTCTAAAACATTCTAAAAAGTTATAAGAAGCTCTAAGGTCTAAGAATGTCTAAAAAGGTCTAAGAAGGTCTAATAAGGTCTAAGAATGTCTAAAAAGGTCTAAGAAAGTCTAAGAAGGTCTAAAGAGGTCGAAAAATGTCCAAAAAGGTCGAAAAATGTCCAAAAAGGTCGAAAAATGTCGAAAAATGTCGAAAAATGTCGAAAAATGTCGAAAAAGGTCGGCACAGGTCGAAATGATCAAACTGAAATGATCTAAATGATCGATATGATCGAAATGATCGATATTATCGAAATGATCGAAAGTAAAAATGATCAAAAATTTAATTGGTCAAAATTTAAAAACGATGAAAAACAATTAGTCGAAAGATCAAATGATCTAAAATGCAATTAGCCGAAGGTAAAAAATATCGAAAAATACAGAAAAATTATACATAAAACAAAAAAGTAAAAAAAAACTTAACTAACCTATCTAACCTGTGCCTTCCCGTGTTGCGTTGCAAAAAAATTATACATGAAATGAGAAAAATAAAAAACAACTAATTTACTAAATTCGAAATATAATGCTTTCGATCTTTTACCATTTTGATCATATATCATTTCGATCATTTGTACTTTCAAACGTGTGATTTCGATCATTTATATAATATCTGATATCAATCATTTGTAATTTCGATCATATGCGATTTCGGTTACTTCTTTTAATTTCGATCTTTTTTGGTTTCGGTCTTTTGTCCTTTCGGTCTTTTGACTTTCGATCATTTTTCCGTTCATCTTTTGATCATTTAAAATAAGGTGATGTCAGCGTGATCTTTATTTGAAGAATAATTCCATGCTAGATTGAAAATTAAAATATTTTTTTTAGTAATTAGTGACTAAAGCTATAAGTAATAATATACATCATCATAGGTTTTACTGGAAGTATTCTTTGATGTCAGTACAGCATTATTATTGAAAAATATTTGTAATCAAAGTATTTTGCTATGATGTAGTGCCTTTAAAAAAAATCAATTTGCAACTTAGAGGCACTGTATATTAAAAACTAGTCATAGGATTAGGCTGTGCCCATAGACATCATTTCTCTATAAGCCGTCTGCCTCGTTATTTATTTTTATTTATTTATTTTTTAACTACCTCTTCATTTGAAATATCAGTGCTAATAAATATTTATTAAAGCACATGCATCCTTTTTATTTCACCATATTGACAGATTGCATGTTGGAATCATTTGGTTTATATTTACCTTTATTTTGAAAATGTATGTTTTTAATTTAGATGGAAACTCAATACATGAAAACTTTCAATTTTCGTGCTGAAAAAAGCTGAATCGGTATATCTATCTATTTTTGATTGAAATAAAACACATTTATTTAAAATCTATTGATGGTTTTCATCGCTTTTGGTGTATTTTATTCAGCAGAGGTATTTAAAAATTAATATGCTAACAACATTTTGATATTCATGTTGATTTTGTTTACAACGATTGCCTCTCAAGGCACATATAAACTTGTTTAATATAAACTCGTTTAATATAAATAATTATATTATGTATAAGGTGCTCATCTCGGAACAAAAACTACATGCTGATTCAGTTTTTTTATACCTTGGTTGATACTGGCAGATTTACAAAAATTCACCACAGATATCCCGAACCGGGTCATAGTTTCCTGCCGTGTGATCGTAGTTTTGGATTGATAGAGCTACAAAAAAAGAAACACGACAAAATGTATTTGCCTCGTGACTACATAAACATCATTCAGGGTTCCAGCAAAAATGTTTTGGTCAAACAGGTAACTCAAGACATGTTACTGAACTTTAAAGATCACTTGAAATCATCCTTTGTGTTAAATCCTTCAAAGAAAAATAATAAATTTATCATATCAAAATACAGAATAATTCATTACGAAAAACAGGATGCAACAACGACTATAGACTATAGTGAAACTGTTGGAACGCCAATTTTTTGCAAATTTGACATCAAAAACAAAAAAGTCTTAGATGCCCCATCGCTTCCAACTAATGATCAATATTTGTACCCAGGAAGAAGAAAATTAAAACCAAAGAAATTTCAGCACGTGATGAGCTTAGCTAAAGATTACGTACCACAATGTGACATTTGGTTCTACCAGGAGATAGAGAATATTCACCAAACTTTCCAGGAAGAGAATCATGTGACATCAGTGTCGAAATTTAGCAGCGATGAGTAGATTGTTTTCTAACGAATTTAGTAAAAATAATATAAAACCAGTTGTAAAAATATTCTTGTGTTTTACTTTTATCTCAAAATGCCGTTTTTTTCCTTTATTGGATTTAAATACTTACATTGTATATTTTTTTTGACGTTTCCTTTACTAAAACAGGGTAAGTCCATCAATTTTTTTCCCATATTTTTTTAAAAAATTAAACTTTTAAACCAAAAACTATAAAGAACGTTCTTTCAAATACACCCTAACATTGTGTATGCAACGAAAAAAGCAATCAAGTCGAATTTTGTGAATGAGCAGTTTTTCCTATTTTCTCAACATTTTAACTTTCTGGACTTGCCCGGTTATTGCATTGAACCCCTCAATTATGATATTGTTTCAATGGAAAGTTTGTTACTTTTACCTATTCTGGCACAGATAACTAAAAAACAAACAAATTTGCAATTTAATTTTGATAAACTACTGCATATAGGTCTGGGGTTAAACCCTCGTATACATTGCACCATCAAAACTATCATACTATTTATGTACTACTACTCACCGTATTAGCTATGGTGTAAAGCATTTCGACATACAACTTCTCCTTTTCGTGCTGGGGACAATTGTAGTCGATCGGCGTGATCCCCAATTCGCTCTCGGGAGGCGGCGGATCCGAGGACGAAGTTTCGGTTAATTTTAAAATGCTCTGCCGCTGATTTTCCTGCTTCCATGCCAACGCGGTGAAGCTCTCGAAGTAAGAGCCGTCGATTTCTTGTACTCTAGAAAAAGCAGAGAGATAAAAAAGCGAATGAGAATATGACGTAATTTGACGTTTATTGTAGGCGGTAAGAGAAACGGTGGGATCTTATGAAAAATGAAACAAGAATGTATGGAAGTTCGATAGAATCGATAAATATAGGCTTAATAATAGTATATTACACACCGAGGTGGGAAAAGTTTCATTCCTGTCGTGAGATTAGTTACATCACCGAGACGCGAAGCGTCGAGGTTAGCTATGATTTCGAGACAGGAATGAAACTTCCTACCGAGGTTTGTATACTATTTTATTTACAATCATCATATTTCGATCAACGTTAATAAATCTCTGTTTCTTTCTGAACATACCTAAAATATTACATTTAACGACAAATTACCAAGCGAGCGGTTTTCTCAGAATAATCAAGTAAATATATTGTGATTACGAGGTAAACAACTGTCACCAATATAAATAAATGTCAGATAAAGCCGGATATTAAATTCTCGAATAATAAATATCAATAAGTAGTTTGTTGTATTTTAGTTCATTGTTGTTTTTTATTATTTGCCATTAAATAAGTATTATAAAATTTGTCAAAAAAATGTGTTATTTTTTTTAAATATAAAAAATATTCATCTAGAATAGATGAAATGAGGGCGGGAAGTGAGGGCGGGAAGTAGAGGTGTGTAATGTGACACTTCCCAACCTTTAATGACGTTAGTAATGACAACATTACATATATGGTTGGAAATAAAAGTTGTTATTAATTAGATATATTAGATGGTAATAGTTTTGATTTTTATTTTTTTTTTTCAAGGTGAGAGTAGCGATTACATAGGAAGGTGGTAGACGAATACTTTTCTGGTTTAACAAAGTTAATTTTTTAGCTACTGGTTTCGAAGTATCTATCTCATCATAGACAGTGGCTAAATATAACTTTCTAGTAAACGTCCCAATTTTCATTATACAGGGTAAATTTCATAATTACATAATTTTCTAAATATTTTCCATTACGGTGAAGATTTTAACTTAAAAATATATACATGTTTGTTAATGACCATTATTAGGTAACACACTCTATTTTAATAAATTCCGATAAATTGCGATAACCCATTGACGTAGAATAAAAGGCTATGAAAACAATTTTAATCCAAACTTTTTGAACACTCTATATTTCATAAAAGTATAGATAATAAATATTAAAAGGTCCATTAATTAATGGGACAAAGATTTTATGAACCTAATTTGTCCCATTAGTTAATTAACTTTTTATTATTGATTATGAAATCGGCCCTCAATGAAAATTTGCATTTTTGGAATTTCATTATGTATATAGCTTTCATGGGTGAGTAGGGCTAAAACTGTAAAATCTCGTAAATGGAATTTTTTACAAAGTTCAATCACGAGCCGCTTTTTTGTGAAAAATTGGAATATTTATTATTCTCAACTTTTAGGATCAAAATTGTTTTCTTAGCAAATCCGTCAAAATTATTTTTATACTTTAAAGCTAATAGATGAGTTAAATTTGTAGGTAAAAAATCTTATTTTTAGTAATTATTTTTAGTATTACTTCTAGTAATTAATTTTTTTAGTAATTATTTTTAGTACTTATTTTTAGTACTTATTTTTAGTACTTATTTTTTTAGTAATTATAGTAATTATTCTTAGTAATCATTTTTAGTAAGTATGTTTTAGCAAGTATTGTTAGTAATTGTTTTTAGTAATTGTTTTTAGTGATTATTCTTGGTAATTATTTTTAGTGATTATTTTTAGTAATTATGTTTATTAATTAGTTTTAGTAATTATTTTTAGTAATCACTTTTAGTAATTAATTATTTTTAGTAATTATTTTTTAATAGAAATGTATTTATGTTATTAGTTTGATTTATATAAAAAATATTAAGTGACTGAGATCAGCTACAGTGGAATTATAACAAGAACATATAGAAATCTGATTTATTCCAATTTTGGCTAAATGAGCCGGAAATCTACCGTGCTTAAATTTTAATCTAGTTATGGGTTACGCTATAGAATCTGTATATTGTTGGATATGTTGTATTTTACAGGGTTACTATAAAAGAATCATCGGGTTTGACAAAGCTATATTTCGGAAAGTATGATGGATACAATAATAAAAGGTATGTCGACAGAGCAAACATTACATTTTTAGCGCGTTACAAATGTTCAATGTGGGCTCCTCGAGTCACACGACAGATGTCCAAACGATAGTCCAAATCAGTACACACTCTGCAATGTATCGCGGTCGATACTGTTGACAGCAGCGGTAATGCGTCTTCTGAGCTCCGCCAGTGTTGCAGGTAGAGGTGGTACGAACACCGTGTCTTTAATGTACCCCCAAAAATAAAAATCGCACGGTGTAAGATCAGGAGAGTTGGGAGGCCACGGAAACATTTCCAAATCGTGTTCCGCATAACGGCCTTTCCAACGATGAGGGAGTTCCTCGTTTAGATACCCACGCATGTCATTATGCCAGTGAGGTGAAGCGCCATCTTGTTGGTATATAAAGTTATTGGAATCAGCCGTCAGTTGCGGCATTAACCACAGTTGCAACATATCGAGGTACGAAATACCGGTCACAGTGTTTTCATTAAAGAAAAATGGTCAATACACTTTTGTGCTGGATACGGCACAAAAAACATTCAATTTTGGAGAATCCCTTTCATGTTGGACAGTTGCATGAGGATTTTTGGTGCCCCATATCCGAATATTGTGACGGTTCACCTTGCCACTTAAATAAAATGTCGCTTTGTCGCTGAACACCAGACGGTTAGCGAATCCGTCACCCTCCATGGCTTCCTGCATGTCATTACAGAACTGTGTTCGCTTGACACAGTTATTTGGTCGTAACTTTTGCAACAGATGTATACGGTACGGTTTGAATTGCAATCGTTTCCGCAAAACTTTCCACACAGTTTGCTGCGGCATACCAAGTGCACGGCCTGCTTGACTAGTGGATTGTTGTGGCGACTGCACAAAACATTGTCTAACCGGATCCACTGTTGCGTCGGACACTCGTGGTCCGGTGCTTTTACGTTTCTCAAATACACCTGTAGTCTTGAAGTTTCGATACCATCGTAGAATGCTCTGATGATCTGGAGGAGCAATTTCATATTCCCGTCGGAATGCACGTTGCACTGTCACAACCGATAAACATCGCGCGTATTCTAACACACAGAATGCTTTCTGCTGTATAGTCGCCATTTTCATTACTGCTGACGTGACGTGGCGTGCGCATGACCAGCTGCCTCCGCACGCGCGCGTTGTAAACGTAAAGGTTGCCGATGCCTATAGACATGTCATTTATTATTGTATCTATCATACTTTCCGAATTATAGCTTTGTCAAACCCGATGATTCTTTTAGAGTAGCCCTGTATTTAGAATATGTGGATGAATGAGGCTATAAGGATTGACATGCGCACTTGGTTCATGGTAGCGAAACCGCCATTTTATCTAATTCTTGCGTATTAGTTGGTGCTGCAAATGTTAACTGTTGTATTCCACTTCGTCCAACGTTTTCACACTGTTTAACTTTGTATGGGTACTCGACCACTAACATTTTTTCTGTTCGAGGGTGTTACCATCGGCAACCGTGCAGATGTGGCTCCTTCCAACCTTGTTAGTTTTGTGGCTTTGTCTCCCAAATCGTAAGACCTGCTTCTATAATAATAATAATCTTCTCCTTAGAGATGGGTTATCATATATGGGAGTATCATAACGCTTACCAGCTTCTTAAGTATGATGATTCATTACTTGGATCAAGATGCCACCGTTATTGAGTTGCTTCCTTTGTGCAGTATCACTTTTATTATTCCATTATTGCAACAACAGCAGCCTCTTTGCGTTATTTTGAAACCCACCACTTTAACTTCTTCTACTATAATTTGGGTAGACTATCGAGACGAGTCGAACAACTGGAGATAACACTATCTCTCCTCGACGTCTAGATTAATAATCATTTCATTTTATTTCTTCTTTATTCCCACATTAATCAGTATCTCTTCAATTTAAATGCTCATGCACCTCGTAAGTTAACTTATTATATATAGTAGATATAAGTGCATCTGCGAATGCTTTTACTAAATTATATTTGTTATTTGTCTTTAGAAACCACTTAAGATCTTAGGTATGTATGTCTAGGTTTAATTATTACTAACTTCGTTAACTGCATGTTGTTAAATCTTGTTATAGGCTTGAAAATGGCTTTATATTCGAAACCGGTCGCCTTAAATAATAAATTTTATGTATGTGGGATTGATTTGGATTTATTTTATTCTCTTATATAAGGATTGGTTGATTTATTTACATTTTCTTGTCAGATGTCTTACCAATGGTTTTTTATTTTTTGCTTTAGCAACGGTATAAAATTTCATTTGCTTTGATACCAGCATGTCCCCTTGCCCAAAAAGTGTTATTTTGACAATGAAAGAAAAAAATAATGCAGGATAAAATAAATCAGGGCAAAGTGTAGGACAAAATAACACAGTACATGAAAATATACCGGCAATTTAATTAAAATTAAAAATATTAACTAATTTACCTAACCCGGACGGCCTGGAACAAACGCGGATAGTTTCGAAAACAAAAAAAAATAAATTATACATAAAATGAGAAAAATTTAAAAAAAACCCGGGTTGTTTCATAGAAAAATTATACATAACATAAGAAAAAAAAATTAAATTAATCACATTAATTAAAAAAAAGTATCTTATTCGTTATGCGGTATTTTGTCCTTGCGCTATTTTGTCCTGTGCCATTTTGTCTTGCTCTGTTTAGTCATGGTGCCGAATGTTATTGATTTTTCGAAGATTTGATATACTAGCAGAGCCATATATATTCTAGATTCATAATCTAAAATATAGCGAATATTTATGATCTATAAAACATTAGTGGGATTTTAGTATCTAGATTCTCCTCTGGTCAGGAAGATAAGCACATACAGACTACGACGTGTGGATCCCCGGCAGTTCGTCGGACTAATGTTAGTGTTTGACCTTGACCGT